AACTCGCTGTTTCCAATAGAGCTACTACATACATCAAGCAAAGTCATCTTGGGCTTAATAATAGTCAAGCAATGAGAAACGAAGTAATAAACCTGTGTGTGTGTGTGAACCAGCCCCCGGGCCCGTTCAGCTAAGGTCCCAGATTCAATCCCAGCTGAAAGATCTCCAGTTAAAAGATCTGGCGTCTCGTGATGTAAAGATCTCTGCCTGAGGCCCCGGAGAGCGGCTGCCAGTCTGGGTAGACAATACTGACTTTGATGGACCAAGGGTCTGATTCAGTATAAGGCAGCTTCATGTTTTTAAACCGACCTCACCAATTTGTTACGAGGATAAAACACAGATAATGAAGTTACGCTTTCGGTTCTCTGCTGTAGCGAGAGTCCATGTGAGCTTAAATAACTGTTATTTTCCTTCCCCCCAGGTCCACAAAACAACAAAGCAGTTATACTCAGTGACTGGGAGCCGCTTCCAGCTCTTCCGAGCAGTTTGCCAATGTGGCACCCACCCTATTTCAGGAAGGTAGCCAACACCCTTGCCCGGTGGTGATTGTGGTTGGCAGGGTAGTTCCCAAAAGACGCTGCTGCTGCAGGAACAAAAAAAACCCTGCAAGCCTCCCTGAAATCCAGGCCTTGTGCTAGGCATGGCTGATGGCGGTTTCGAATGTGACTCTCCGTGAACTGCGGACTGAGCATTGCTGCAAATAAACACAGGAACACACAAAACGATGCAAGACGCAAACAAAAGCGCGCCTTCTGCAAGGCGGTCCAAGCGGAGCAGGAAGTTACTAAGAACAACCTTCTTCTGCCCCACAGAACAGCAGGTGCTTCATTTTCAAGGCAAACTGTAAGCCGGCAGCAGGTCCATGTGACACAGAATTGCTGTTCAGGGGGAAGAGAATTAGCAGAGCCAGCCTAGTGTGGTGGTCAGCGGCAGAGGAGGACTGCGGGGATCCAGTTTCAAATCCCCATTCAGCCCTCAAGCTCACCAGGTGACCCTGGGACAGCTGTGTGCTCTCTCTCTCTCTCCCTCCCTCCCAACAACCCTGTAGGTGAGGGTGGGTGAGAGTTCAAATACATGTCACTGTTTAACATCCAGAGAAACAAATACCAGACGACTTCCAAGGGCAGATGGAAAGCACAATAACTGTCCCCACCCCTACCCAATTTCTTTGTTATAAAAGAGGCTAGGCAAGTCTTCACTAGCGCTATAAATAATTTCCTTTGTAGAGGAGTGGTTAGAGTGTCAGACTACAGGCTGGGAGACCCAGGTTCAAATCCCTACTGTGCCATGGAAGATTGCTGGGGGAGAGTCATGTACTCTCAGGGTTATCGTGGGGTGGGGGCAGCCACATATTCTCAGGGTTACTCTGAGGATAAAATGGAGGCTTTAAACAATAACCTAAAGCTGGTTGTATAGAAGACTGCTGATCTTTGGTTTCATCGGGGTCCAATGACCGTGTTTGTAGGGCTGCTGGTTTAATTGCTAAACATTACTGTGTGTAACTGATCCTTTGGAGTGTAATGCGGGCTTGCAAGCCCTTCCCGGTCAGATGAACCCCTGGGGTGCCAATTAAAAACTGGGTAAGCACTAAAGCAACCAATGACTCTTAGGATTATCTCCTGCTAGACAGACCCATATGTCTAGCACTCTGTATTTGCACTGCCGCTCCCACTACCCTTCTACAAGCATGCGGGCAATCTATCACAACTTTGCACTTTAGAGTTATCGCACTCCAGGGATGGCGGGCCTCTCTGCTGTCCCTCCCCAGTACCATACCTCAGATAGCAAAACCAAACAGACATGGTGTTTTCCCAGAGATCAGTCTTAAGAGCATATATTGCAGTCTTTTAAGTATTTGAAAGGAGGAGGTGGGGCAGGGAGCTGTTCCTGTCGGCAGCAGAGGATAAGACTTGCAATAATGAGTTGAAATTACAGGTGGAAGGTACTGGCTGGATAATAGGCACTTGGTTTTTTTTAAATAGCGAGAGTCGTTCAGCAGTGGAATCGGCTCCCCCTCCCCCCCCCCCCCCTTCCCCCGCAGCAGCTGGACAAACATTTGTCAGGGATGCTATAACACTGACCCCGCATTGAGCAGGGGGTTGGACTAGATGGCCTGTATGGCCCCCCCTTCCAACTCTTACAATTCTATAAGTTTAATAAATGAAAAATAAACATATTCCCTTCAAGCAATATGGGGTTTGCAAGGGAACAAAGAAAAGGTCAAAACATACACTCCTCCATCCCTACGCTAGGTACTTCCTAAACGATGCTGGCTTTTAGGACAGGCAAATTTTACTTGAAGTTACAGTAGGTTAGAGTTCACCATTAACTTAGACCTCCAGGTTGGGATTCCTCTCCGTTGTCCCTTGCCCTGTGGGCAACTTGCAGACCCTTGGTGAAAGCTTAGTCTTCGTCCAAAGAGAGGCCCTCAAATGAAAGAGTCCCTTCTCCCCCATGTCCTTATAGCCTCTCTTTCCCCTCCCATCCTTGGTATGGCCTTCCAATCCCATAGGAAGAGTTTTCTTTCAACATCAGTTTAGTCTGAGCTACCATTTTGCAGCAGGGCTCTGATCCATGGACAGAGAGCAGTCCCAATAACTGAGGTGAATTCATAGGGAGAGGGTGTTCCTCCAGAGTTTGCTTGTAGCACTGGTTTTATTGCATTTTTATGCAAATGTCATTTGCTAGGAGGGTGTGGGTGAGGAACAGGAATGTTTCAATGGAACAGTCTTTCCCCAGCAGGACAAGGCTAGATACACGTGCAGCGCTTAATGGGGGTCTGCTACATGTGACTGTTTTTAGGGATGGGCACGAAACAGCTCACAAAGAAAGTGATGAACTTTGGCCGGTTCATGGTTTGTGAGCCCATGTGAACATGAGAACCACCACAAACTTTAATGCAGTTTGTGGTGGCTCGTGAAGAGCAAAAAACAAGGATTTAAGTGCTTCCGAGCCCACCACTCAGCTGTTTGGTTTAGATGGCTCAGAGCCATTTAAACCCCTGCTTTCTGCTTTAAACTTTAAATGGCTCAAAAACCTAAATGAATCAGTTCAGTTCATGAACCAGCATATCGTTTCGAGTAGGTTCGTGGTTCAGCTCATGGTTCAGCAGCAAACCACAAACCAAACTGCAAAACGCAGTTCACGCCCATCCCAAACTGTTTTACCACTGAGCTTCACATGCTTACATAGCTGAGGTTTTTGTTTTTTGTCCTCAAATGGAATCACATCAGTTTCCCATGAAATGCTTTGATCAAACACCACAAACACTTGGTACAAAAATCCAGGTTTAATACAGATTAAAAAAAAAAAAAAACACCCACAAATCTCCAGATGTCTCCATTTCATTCAAACTTTCAACAAAAGGGGGAAATCATGGAGGGTAAAATTTCATTCATTCTAGTATATTTACAGGGTTGGTTTTTTTAAAAAAGAGACAGTATATACATACACATACGTACACCAGGAAACGAGATGGAGGCAACAAATTCAAAACAATTCTTCACAATTTCTTTCTAAAAAAATAGAACAGATAAATTCTTTGGGGAAGGGGAGCAAAAGAAATCCCTCACCTATCCACCCTTGTCAATGCTTAATTATCCAAAGAAATGGGCATACTGAAGCACTCCTTAATCTATTTATGAAACACTCTTTTAAAACAAATAAGTACTTCACTAGTTTTGGAAACTGTTCCTTTCTTATCTCTGCATCTGTTCTCAAACCCACAGTTTCAACACAACTGGAGCTACAGTGGCAGAGTTCTGCGTAAGAACATTTCACTCACCTCTCCCCCTCCATTAGAAGAGAAAGCATCACTACCAATAGACAAACTGAAAAATCAACTAACGTAGCCCGAAGAAGGAGTTCGTAACAACCTCTGCTTGCCCATCCCCCAACCACCTATATTTTAGGATTCTTTGAGCCAAGTATTCTCATCAATACTCTTTGTTCCATGAAACGCTTCAGTATTAGGACTCAAATGTTCCTTAAAAACTATTTCAGGTTTGCACACAGCAAACCAAGACAGCAAATAACCTTGGCGTCCTCCCACACTAGTCTCAAAACTGAAATGAAAGTTCAGCATTGCACCACTAGAAGCATCCCTGGTACCCGGAAAGCAGCTTTTCTAAAGCAGGAAGGCACAGCAGAAGGAGATGCCCAAAGAATGGCATCCATTTAATGAGGCTATATATTAAGGCACATTGTGGCAATGCCAATCTGACCCACAATGGGGCAGAACATTCATTCATTTCCTACATTCATGCGCATGTTCAGTCTCCACCCCTACACACACACCAGTCTACCTACCTACCCCTACACACAAAGGATCTACCTACATTATCCGTATATAAAAATGGGGAGGCAGGGAAAGAAGAGCAGGAATTAAAAGTGCAAACATTGTCCCAGGTCTGTGGTCCACAAAGCCCAGCCCCGTGATGCCTACCTAACCCTTTACATGGAGCAAAAGTCTCTACATGGGTTATAGTCACTGGAACAATGGGAGGAACCCTTGGGGACTACAAACCCCAGCATCCCATTCTTCACATACAGTAGTATGGTACATTCAAAACTGGAAGGCACAGCTGGAATCTGCTTTCAGACATGTTACGATCAGGCCCGTAGTCAGAAAATTCTCAGTGGGGGAGGCACTGGGGAAACTGGTGGGGCGTGACGTCACAAAATTAAAAAATAAGTTAAAAATACGAAGAAATGCAACAGAAATTTCACTCAGTCGCTTTAGGGTGAAGAGGAGGGGATCGTGGCCGAGGGAACATGCTGGACTAGATCCTGGGATTGGATCTCACCCAACAACGCTCTTCGTCTTTAAGAAAATGAATACATCAGAGCTCTTTGGCGCCCTCAGCAATTTGCGCCCTGGCAGAGGCCAGCTGAACAGCTCCTCCAGGGAATGTCAGCTGCCAAGGGGAAAGGTTTTTTTTTTTAAAAAAAACCCTTGGTCTCTTGAGAAGCCCCGTTGCAAGTCCCAGGCTGGTGGACTGCGAGGGCTTCCCAAGAACACCCTCTCGGGACACCCAACGTTCAAGTCACCCAGCAGGGCTCCTGGCACTGAGGCACCCCTGACTCAGGCTGCCACCAGAGAAGAGGGAGGGGGTGGGCACTACATAGCCTCACTGGCCGCCGGGTCTTCCTGCGTGCTTCTGCAGGATCTGCAGCTGGTTCCCCCTGCCCCTGAGCCCTCTCCAGCCCCCATGGGGGCAAGTCAGCAAATCAGGAGAAGGTAGGACCGGATGGGACGGCTAATGGGAGGGCGGATTCAGGAGGAAGAAGGCGGTGCAGGCAGGACTGGGCGCGGCGGCGCGGCGCAGCTACATTTAAACTTTTTAAAATATTTTTATGAGTTCAAAGGGCAAGCTTTGTGGGGCATGGCTTGTGATTAAGATGCCCCACTGTAGCTATGGGCTAGGTTATCATGTGTTCCCTGGAGAGCCCTCAAGCTTCCACAGCAGGGACTGTTTGAATACTCTCCTTGCTCAAGAGAGTGACAGGCTTGAAAGATTCCAGCCTTAGGCGTAAGACCCCAGCTTTGCAAAGGGCAACCAAGCCCTTTTAACTAAGATCTGTTTTAATTCACAATAGCACACCTACAACACTAGCTAAAGCCCATTTGCACCTAATACCTGCAAGGGAGCATCTCCAACTATTCTGTACTGCAGAGATTTTCAGAACAATTCTCTGCCTCCACAGGCAACGATACTGCAGCTAGTTATGCATGCGTAATTCCTACAAATGTCAATGGGATCTAAATAACAGGATCACCACGGTCACATCTTTGGTTCTAAACAGGCAAGGGTCACAAAGGCATCCTTGGAGGCTTACAAAGTTGAAAAACCAGCAGGGTCTGTGGCATGCCTTACGTCAGCCGTAAGAGCAGCAATGATCGTGCCTAGAGGCTTTGAACACTGTGCTGGCACCGGAGATCATTCAATGAAGGCAAATGTCAACTGTGGGTCTTCCTGATCTCCATGGTCTAGCCGTAAGCAAATCAGCAATGGAAGAGACCTAAATCCAAGTCATGTTGGTATACAACAAGACGGGCAAAGTTTAGCAGCAGATGCTAAAGATTTTGCTTAATAAAAGGGGATCTATGCCAAAGGAACTTCTGAGGCTGAAGGAAGAATTTCTGGACACAGTGTTAAAACTGGGAGTGAGATATAAGGCAGTAACCAAGAGTCCATCACCCCCACTGACATGTGGTTTATCTCCAAAGATGTGTGGTTTATCTGCAGGGATTTTTAAAAAAATCAACACACTTTTAAAAAACTGAAGTACTAAAATAATAGTGAGGACTTGATCCTACTTGAAAGACTGCTTTAGCAAAACTAGGTGTGCCCATCTATCCATCCTCAGAAAACCAAGTTAGCAAATTGCTCACCACAAAGCAGAAGAGAAAAGATGCACCGTTTCCTCATAACAATTCCACTTCTGGACTCTTGCAGATTGGGAAAAGGAGACAGAATAAGGACAGCCCCTTCCACTTGACCAGCAGTTTTGAAGGAAAAAAACAATAACAACAGTGTAGGTGACAATCACATTCCCAGGGTGGAACTCTCTGGGTGTGGAAAGGAAAGCAAACAGAACAAGCCACAGGTGCTGGCTGTACAAGATTAGCTATAAAACCACAGGGCCATTAACATCCCATCTGGTCTCCAGAAAAACACACAGAAGTTGGTTTTTAATAGATGAACAGCAGCCTCTTCCATCACATTTCCACCGGACGCTGCCGTCTCGTCTCACAAGCACAACCCGCACCAGGCCTGGCATTGTATGGCTCATGCAGAGGTAGGATCGCTTTGTGGAGTTCCAGCCTCCCCCACCCCCTAGATTCAAACCCACCGGGAACCAAGTTCACATTCAAATAAGATTTGCTCAAACAGTCCTCGGAGACCAAGGGTGCGGAAAGCACTGCCAGGAAGGAGGGAAAGGCCTTCAAATTGGTGACTCAGCCCACCTGATCGATAAACCTAGACTCATTGTTTCTTCCTCCGCCCCCCAAGTAAATCAAGGCGGGTGCAAAGAAGATATGCAGAGTTCTCTTCACATCATGTGGGATTGTCTACAGCCACCAGCTTGTCAATGCCAGACACAGGAAAATCAGGTGCGTGAGGATCACCCCGTGGCTACGACCACCTACACCCCTGTGTTCTCTCGGACCCAGTCCCGAAACAGAGAGACCCGGGTGTAGGCTCCAGGCTTGTTCCGTCGGGCGCATCCTTCCCCCCAGCTCACCACGCCAGCCAGATACATCTTGTTATTGGCCTCGATGCTGGTAAGCGGCCCGCCGGAGTCACCCTGTGGAAAAGAAAGAGCACAGATTGAAGAGGCCTGCTACTAGCCTTCTATATGCTCCCCACCTTGGTCCTTAGGTAGGTCCCTGTTTTCTGGTACCAATCCCAGTAAATCACCGCCCTGTGTCTCATCCCTACTGTCACATCTTTGGCTTTTTTTTGGCCACACTTTCGAGCAGGGTTGTGCATGTGTTGCATGCCATCAAGTGGCTTCCAGCTTCTGGCAACCCTATGAATTAAAGTCTTTCCGTGAACACCCTTGCTCAGGCCTTGCAAACTGAGGGCCGCGGCCTCCTTGATCGGGTCAATCCTGTTAAGTCGCAAGCTTAACAAAGAGTCGGAGAGTGATTCAGCAAGAATGCAGTTTTTATTCTTCAACTCGAACTCACTTCCAACACGGATCAACATCAGTCAGCCAGAGACAGCTTTAACACAGAAGCTGCTCTGTATTTAAACATTCCCGGCTAATATAGCCACGCCTACTGTACACTTAACAACCAATGCGGTTGAACCATTAATGGCCAATCACGAACGTTCCCGCTCAGGGAGCTTCTTCATATTTATTTATTGCTTCCTGGGCTAGTGTTCCTATTGGTTACATTAGGATCCTAGCCCAGGACGAAGCTTAACATGAGATGGCAATGGACTGATTCCTGTTACATTCAGTCATGTATTCAAGTCAATTAGAATACACTACAAATCCATCTCCAGCAGGTGGGAAGTCTGAATTCCTGAAAGATTCAGTCAGCAAGTAAACTGTGCTTCCCTCTTGCTTTCTGTTGTTTCATCATGTTAGACTTCCCCATTACTTTGTTTGTCTGCGCATAGAATAAAACTATAATTTGTACTTCCGGCTTTGAGTGATTTTCTCCTTTAACTCTCCCGATGAGCTGGCTGCTTTGAGCGTAGCTCAGAAAGACCTGAGAAGCCCTTCCTTATCTCACACTGACTGATTGAGCAAGCTATTCATAAACTAAAAGTCCTCTTGGTCACTACTCAGGAATCTCTCTTGATGCAAAAGAACAATAGCATGTAAACAGATGCACAGTGGATTCAGAGAAATGTGGGGAAATCATAACAAATAACCTGGTCCCAAAAGGCATTTGAAACAGATGTGGAGAGAGAGGAGGAGGAGGCAGAAGGGGAGGTGGGGCTGATAAAGTGCAAATTCTCTCAAGACGTGAGAGGCATTTCTCTAACAAGTGCACCAGGAGAAAGCACTGAATCACACATAGTTTGAGAGTGACAAGGAAAGAGTCGTTTGGGTGGGTAGCTGCATTCGTCTGTAGCGGCAGAACAAAATTTGAGTCCAGTAGCCCTTTAAGGACCAACAAAATATCCCAGTGTACAAGTTTCCACGAAGCAAAGCTCACAGTGCCAAATACAGGGGAAACAGTAAGACTACGGTTGCTCTGAGTTCAGAGAGAGGAGCCTGAACGTGCAAATAATGCTGTCTTGTGCAGTTGCAGAAGTCATCCTTACAAGGTTAGGCCCCAAAACTGGAGCAGGAGATGAAAAAGATGAGAGAAATGACAGCCAAGGGTGGGAACCGGTTTGCATGCTCCATGCAGCAGCTGCTTTTATTGCACAAACTCTGCTGGCAGGGAGAGAAAGTTTACATAAAGGCAAGACAGGGCAGTAACATGTCACAGCAGGGAAAGGGAAGCAAAGAGCCGCCAAACCCATTCGGGCCCCAAGGAGGCCAGAGGTCTCCCACACAGAAGCAATCAGTGAAGACGGGAAGCCTGGCTCCTGTCCGAGATGCTCACAGCCGAGCCCCTTCTTGTCACCAAAGTCTCCAAGACTCTTACCTGGCAGGCATCGATTCCTCCCTCCAGGACCCCGACACATATCATCCGTGGAGTCAGCGGGCTGGTCAACAGCGGCTTACATATAGTCTGGTTGATCACCCGGATTTCCGCCTTTTGCAAAATGAGAGCGCCAGAACCTGCCAAAAAACCACAGCAGTACGCATGGGACTTGGTGCAGGGAATTCTCAACTGCCCCATCTTTGAAGGGCTAACATATTGTTACCCCCCAAGAGATCAGCCAAGGTTTGCAACAATTCCACACCCAGAAACAATAGACATTATATACTTTGACTTGCAAAATGCTTCCAAAAAGGTATCTCACTAAAGACTCCTGAGTCAAGTTAGCAGTCAGGGGATAAGAAGACAGATTAAAAATTGGTTCAGCAACAGAAGCAAAGGGCAGGAATAAATGCACAGTTCTTGCGAAAGAGGGAAGTGAGCAGCGGGGTCCCACAAGGATCAGTACAGGTGCAGGTGATATTTAATTTGTTCATAAATGATAGGGGTAAGCAGTGTATGGCCAGGTTTCATAGAATCATAGAGTGGGAAGGTACCTCCAGTGTCATCTAGTCCAACAGAAAATTCACAAATACCTCCACCCAACACACACCTAGAGACCCCTGTTCCATGCCCAGAAGATGACAAAAAATCTCCAAGATCTCCAGTCAAACTGGACTGGAGAAAAATTGCTTCCTGGCCGCAAAGTGGCGATCAGCATTTCCCTGGGAGTGTAAGAAAGGGCCACAAGAATTAAGCACTGATGCAACCCTTCCTGCCCTCCCTCTCATGATCTGCCTAAATTCACAGAATCAGCATTGCTTTCAGATGGCCATCTAGCCTCTGCTTGAAAACCTCCAAAGAAGGAGAGCCCACCAGTTCCCGAGGAAGCCCGTTCCACTGAGGAACCATTCAAACTGTCAGGAAGTTCTTCCTAATGTTTAGCCGAAAACTCTTCTGATTTAATTTAAACCCACTGGTTCTGGTCCGACTTTCTGGGACAATAGAAAACAACTCCATGACATCCTCAATATGTTTTAAAATTTAATTGCAAAACCAGCAAAACGTGGCCCTATAGTATGCAGAATTCTACCCCCTCCCGCATACCATAGAGCAAAACAGGGTCTCTTTTCCCCAGGCTCTAGGAGTCAGCCTCTCTGGTCAAGCTGCCACACTTACCTTCTTCTGCTGTGGCTCCCCATCCGGTCACGTGGAGGACCTTGCCAGCCGGGAATTCGCGCGAGGCATCAGGAAGACATATGGGCTGGACGTACTTGGTGAAGGTGACCGGGCTATCCAGTTCCACCACGGCGATGTCGTAGTCATAGGTAAAATCGTTGAAGTATGGGTTGACGATGATGCGCTTGAGGCCCCGTTTCTGAACACTGGGGTTGCCCCTGTCCCGCTGGTCGAGAAGGCCCAAGAATGCAGTCCACGATTTGGGTTCAGCGAGGCTGCAGAGAGTTAATACGGGACTGAAGGCAAGTAGCCAGCAGCAGCTCTTGGACAGAGAATTTTAGCCACACAACCATTACAGTATATGTGTCATGCCCGCAGTGCAGCCCGACCCCGTGGACCCTGACCCCGTGGATTCTGCACCCTCAACGTCCAAGGGTGCACCCCTTGAATCACATTTGCCTACTACATAACTTAGGTTTTTTTAATTATTTCCATAATCTTGTAAAAAATCTCAGAATGAATTATTTTAAACTATATGTATACTATATTTTAAGAATAATTTAAACATTATAAGAGAAAACAGAATCAAATCAAATTTCATTACAGAAAATGTTCCCTATGAGGGTAGACCAGGCCTCCGGAGAACAAGTCTACCCTCCCCTTCCCACTATATTGGTAGACCTGGCCTTCAGAGAACAGGACTACCTGCCCCAGTCCTCTATATTGCTCGCCCTGGCCTCAGACTGTCGCCCTGCACTGAGCTGTTGAAAACACACCAGCACCTAGCGGAGGGAAAACTCTTGCAGCCTACTTTTTTTTGTGTGTGAAATATGACAGATTACAGGTCAAGTATAACAGAGTCTGTCAGAATCTAACCTAACAAACAGGAAGTTGCTTAAATGTTATCAACCTGCCCAAACTACTTATCTATTCAAATATTTATATCCCACTTTTCCTGCGATTCAAGGCAGCTTGCAAATCATACTGAAAAGCATAAATATCTATTTTTTTCTGGCTCCATTATAGCCTATGGGGACCATTATAGTCAATGGATCCCATAGGCTCTAGTGGAGAATTGATCTGTGGATATCCAGGGCTGGGGGGGGGGGGGCTGTTTTTTTGGGTGGAGGCCTTTTTTTTAGAGGCATCAAATTTGCAGCATAGCTGCTGGTGTCTCTCCTCAAAAAACTCCCCAAGTTTCAAAAAGATTGGACCAGGGGATCTAATTCTATGGTCACTGGAAGGAGGTGCCCCCATCCTGCATTGTAAAAATGCCTTAGTGTTTACTTGTGAGCTGAAGCAAAAATCCCCGAGTTGCCAAGCTAAAATGTCGTGCACCAGCACCCCCTAGCACAGCTTAGAGGGAACTCTGCTCCCGACCCTGACAGACCTCCACCCAAGACCCTGGAAAGCCACTGCTGGCAGCAAAAACAGATAATATTGATCCTGATAGACCAAGAGACCGTCTTAGTAGAAGGAAGCATCGTGCATTCAACATACTGCTAAAGCTAAAATGCATAAAGCTCACTGCAAATGTGGTACTATCTCTCAGGGACTTAAAAGCCCTGTAAGGTAAGCCAGTATCCCCCCCCTGAGAGCAGATATGGAGTGAGTACCTGAAGGTGACAGAATAGCTTGCAGCCACCCAGTGAGTCTGAGCTACAGGGAGGACCTTTTGGATCACAAATTACCGTCTTAACCGCTAAATACGCCAGCTCACTGTACCAGTTTGCATGAACACCAAGTAAAACAGGGATAAAATTACACTGGAAGAAGGGACAATCATAATAGCCCGTAAGATATAAGAGAACGATGGCATCTACCAACCTGGTAGCGTGTGGATCTTTAAAGCAGTGCGCCGCTGACACCAGCCACTTCTGTGATATCAAAGAGGCTCCGCAGGTGTGACCCTCGCGTCCAGTGTGCAAGCTGACCTGCCACGGCCACTCGCCCGCCTCACAGTCGGTCCCACCGACAATCCGGGATTTCTTTGTGAAGCTGCGCGTGCCACAATCTAGAAAAGGTGAGGTTCAGAGGCCCCGAGAACACAGAGCTTGAGTAAATTTACCTCCCATGACCAATGTTCCCTCTAAGCTGAGTTAGTGTGAGCTAGCTCACACTAACTCAGCTTAGAGGGAACACTGCCCGTGACCCTCTAGGGTCCCCCCCCCCGGTCACTCTAAGAGTACACCTTACCACCAGGGCAGTTTTCTTCCCCCACTTTTGCAAATCAATTGATAAGCAAAACCCAGAAACACATGGAAGCGCACTGCAGGCTGTTGTCAGTTGTGCACACAATGTATGTGGACAGGACATGCATCGCACAAGAGGTTCGCGTTTCAAACATAACTTCTAGAGCTATAAGCTCTTTTTTAAAAAAATATGTAACATAAGAACAGCCCTGCTGGATCAGACCAGTGGTCCATCCGGTCTTACACAGTGGCCAGCCAGTTGCTAAGGAAAGGCCAACATTAGGACATAGATGCCAAGGCCTTCCTCCACAATACAGCTGCCTAACACTGGTATTCCAAGGTTTTCTGCCTCTGAACACGGAGGCTCCCTTTACGCAACATGGCCACTAGCTGCTGAGGGACCTATCTGCCGTTAATTTGCCCAGTATCCTTTTAAAGTCCTCTATGCCTGTGGCCATCACTGCATTCTTGGGCAGCAAACTCTACAAGTGGTGCTCCCTTTTGTCCATCTTTCAACTACTGACCATCAACATCATTCTAGTATTTTGAGACAGGGAGAAAAAGTTCTCTCTATCCACTCTCTCTGCCCCATGCATTCTGTTATAATCATGCCCCCCTCCTCCTCAGTCATCTTGTTCCTAAACTGAAACATCCCAGCCTCTTCCGCTTTTCTTCATAGGAAGGTGCTCCAACCCCTTTATCCTCTGGTTGCCCTCTTCTGCACTTCTTTCCAGCCCTGCAATGTCCTTTTTGAGACAGGGGGACCAAAACTGCATGCAGAATTCCAGGCGAGGTCACACTACAGGTCTGTCCAGGAGCATTATAATATTGGCTGTTTTATTTTCAGTCCCTTCAGCAAATCTACCATCTAAAGCTTTGTTTGATTCTCTAGGGGACAATTTTAATGGCATGCCCTAAAACTGGCAGCAGCAACTTGTTTGTATTTCTGAAGCCATTCTGATGCAGAGGTTAGCAAGAACAAGAATTAGACTCGCTTTCCATCTAATCGCAAGAAAGCAATACTTGCTTCTTTGTTTCTAAGTTACCTTAATCCCCTTTTAGCTTCTCAACAAAGAATGTACCCTTACTAAAGTTTTCTGGAAAATGAAAGGGTACTTAAATTAATTAGATAACATGCTGTATCCATTAAAAGCATTTAATCAG